CCACTTGCTCAATAGATCTACCATCGATTTGGACATTGAGTGCCGAGCTGGTCATTTAATGTACAAGATAACTCGTACCCGGGATTTTCGGAACTTAGCAGTTCGTTTTTTCTCTTCCATGAGCTAAAAACAAAACCGCAACAAAACATGTGGAAAGTTACCCAAGTCTATTATAAATTTTTAGTTATTTTCAGGGGCCCCTTTCTCCAAAGTCCCGATAACTTTCGGGTCCGAAATCAAATATTCAAATCGAAATAAAAATAATTGGAGGGCCGGTCCTGGCTAGCTAAATACTCCTATTTGTTTCATTAACTGATAGTTTTATCATGTAAGATACAAAACCATTAAAACTTCTATCTTTCATGTAAACAGCAACAGCTTTACGGGGCCGTCAATTATCGGGACTTTCGAGAAACGGGCCCCAGGCCCGGGAAGCTGTTGCATGTATGCCATGCTTGAAGTTAAGCTTTGATGTTTTGGCAATTAAGGGAATATAAAAGTATACGTTTTCGTTGTCATCGAAAACGCATCGATCAATTCACGTCCACACGACCGTCCACACAAATACGATACGAGTGTATGTGTTTTCGTTTTGATCCACTATTAAGACCATCGGCAAATCGATGTGTTTTCGATAAAAACGCTCAGCGTGTTAGTGTGGACGGAAGGCCTTAACGCATCGAAATGGATGCCTTTTCAAACGTAAGATTTTGATGATTAAAAACATGCCTTCGAGCCGGACAAGCTGCCGGGACTTTCTTCAACCGGGCGCTAATCACAATTCTCGTCGATTTCCTAGTAAGGACGCCGAGCTGATAAAATTTCGACTTAGTCCAATGCTTGTGTTATTCCATCCACAAATACACCTTTCCACTTGAATTCCCACTAGCTAATTTATTAACAGAATTCAAATTCGCGTGACTTAGATACATCAATGCAGAACTTCTGATTTCAGAGGAGAAAATATCGATCTGAAAAGAAAAAAAAGAAAAGAAAACCGCGGCGACTAAGAAACTGTTTTTTAACGTTCGTAAACTAAAATAAAGTTGGTAATGCTCCCAGTTCTTTATTTTTGAGCAGTAATTTACTTAAAAACAAAAATCAACGATACAATGGAAACTTGACTTTGATGGCTTCGTGTCATCATTATCAAAAGATAAGAAATTAACATGATTGGTGTTAATATACTCTGTCTGGATTTGATACAAGGTGAGTAGTCTACTATGTTGAAACTTAACCGTTTTGGTAGATTCCCTTTGGATTCCCTCGCAAAAAGTGGATTCCCTTAATTAAAAGGCATATGGGTCTAGTCTATGACGTCACCCATTGTTATAACCTAGAGAAAAAAAATGGATTTCCTGCATACTAATTAAGTGCCTAGTCAGTGTCTTCCTGCATACTAATTCGTAATAGGTTTTCTAATGAGCGTCTCTCTACTTCAATAGAAACAATAGGCTTGCCTAGACTTGCCCGGGCTCTTTTAACCCTGATTGGCTCATGCAGAATCTATTATGTTTTCAACATAAAAGCGCGCTTTCTCTTCAGCATTTTATTCTTGTAATCGCTTTGCTAAGGAAAAAGTCTTATTATCACCAATATTTTTTAAAACATTACTCCAAACATGCAAGTCGAATCGAGCGCTACACCGCTTCTTACAGTAGATGAAGTGGAAAAAGTCCAACGTCAACGGGTAGCTAGCCTTATCGGCCATGTGTTCCAACTGACTTATGCGGCTACGGTTGACAAACTCATCCAAGAAGAAAAACTGAATCGCTGCCACGGTTGTGCTATTCAACACCCAAGTCAAAACCAACATTCTTGTCTGATGATGGATAATAATGACGCATGGATGTATTACCATGATGAAGTGGTGGAACAAATTGACCTCAATGTTATCTTAAAAACGGCTGAAAGTGTGTGCAGTGCTCTTGGTTTCAAACTTGGCAAAACGTGGGAAGCGTACGTGACCGAATTACCAAAGCTGCCTTCGACTAACATCTATCTCACTTCCTTGGAACTCGAAGATTATGGTGAGTTAGAAGATCGAATTCTGTATGCTATTTACTACGGACCTTGTGGACTGAGGTGCAAAGATCCCAGTGCTGTGGAAATTGACAGCCAAGTTGAAGTGCAATGCCCTGAGAGAGTTGTGAGGAAAGATGAACAGCCAATGGACCTTGACTTGATAATTAATGACATTCAAAATAAGCTTTGTTTCTAAAAGTAATAAAATTTGTTTATATCTAAATTGTGAGTCAGTGTGTGTTTGTCTCTGTCTTAGTCAAGATGGGGCTTTCTCTGTCTTTGCTTCGAGTCGACTTTTCTCTGTATCACGCACAAGCCAAAACATTGAAAGTGTCTTCAAGTGAAATGGAAATGCTTCAACAAAAATTTAAAGATCTGCCGGGTTCGAGTTTAGAAAAGTTGAAAAAACTCCACCCTGAGGTCTTTTCAAAAGTAAACTGGGGACGATTGTTGGTGTTTTTGAACTTCGCGGATCAGCTAGAATTAACCGAGGAGGAATGGGAACTATTATTTAATTTTCTCGTGCCCACTCTCACCCAGATTCGAGAGTAGCTATATAAGTAAACACCAAGAGGAAAGAAATCATTCGGGTTTGAACCTTCATAGCGATCATCAGCGATGGGTTGCTGTCCGCCATCATCCATTTTTGGTTTTGAGCACATTTTCAATCGCATACGTTGTGTATTAGCTTGCTGTGGTGGTAAAGTGGTTGCACAAAACTGGGAATTTTGTGATGGAGAAAAAACTAGCCAGCATCTACCTCGATCCAAGTCAACCCACAAGTTTCGGTGGTTTAGATGCTGTTTACAGAGCAGTCAAAGAGAAAGGAAAGAACAAGATATCGCTTAAACAAGTCCGAGAGTGGTTGAGTCAGCAGGATGTTTATACTTTTCACAAACCCGCGCGAAGACGCTACAAGAGAAGCCGAGTCATCGTTCCTGGAATAGATGCCCAGTTTCAAGCCGATTTGGTCGATCTTCAAAATCTCAGTCGCTACAACAAGGGCTATAAATACTTACTGAGTTGTGTAGATATCTTCAGCAAGTATGCCTGGGTGCTGCCTTTGAAGTCAAAACAAGGTCAAGAACTGGTGAAAGCCTTTCAAAAGATCCTTTCCACTGGTCGCAAACCCAGCAAACAGCAAACAGATCTAGGAACAGAGTTCCTGAATCGTGTGTTCCAGAAATGGCTGCGTGACAACAACATTGACTTTTTTACTGTTATTTCTGGGCTCAAAGCCTCAGTGATTGAGCGTTTTAACCGAACATTTAAGAATAAGATGTATAAATATTTCACGGCCAAAAACACTCTCACCTATATCAATGTATTACCCCAGTTAGTATCTTCTTACAATAACACCTACCACCGAAGTATTAAAATGAAACCGAGCCAGGTGACTAAAACGAATGAAGCTCAAGTATGGGATACTTTGTATGGGGATGATGTTCAAAAGCCCGTGCGATTTAAATTTCAAGTGGGAGATCGCGTCAGCATTAGCAAAGTAAAGAGAACGTTTGAAAAATCTTACTTACCTAATTTTACGGAAGAAATGTTTACTGTTTACAAGCGAATGGCTCGTCAAGTACCCGTTTATAAACTAAAAGATGATGCAGGTGAAATCTTAGATGGAACATTTTATGAGCCTGAATTGCAGAAAATTATTAAGAACGATGATGTGTTCCGGGTCGAAAAGATTTTGCGGAAGAGAAAGCGTAAAGGGGTAGTAGAGTATCTTGTGAGATGGAAAGGATACGAAGACCCAAAATTTGATTCCTGGGTTCAAGAAAGTGATATTTTGAAGTTGAAATTTATGCGTTTTTTGTGTAGTGAATAAAAGAAAGGGAAATAATAAAATGAATGGTGTGCGGTTTCTAATAAATTAAGAATACCCAGATTAAAAAGTTCATTTCAACACAGGGTACGATGGAGGTAACACAGTTTTATCTGCATCTCCCTAGCAATAGCAGTCTTGATAAATTTCCTCATAACACATTAACAGAGTACCATGTTGGTTTACCTCAAACCGTTAGCTTGACGGGGGACTGGGAAGTAGCGTTAGCAGAAATTCATTATCCTCAAAGCTGGAATAATTAATGTCCAAGGAAATTTTGGTAATCGATTCTTCTTTCGGAACCAAGAATTGTCCGAAGTATGGGAGGCCCTAGGTATACCACCGGGTCATTATTCTTCCATTGAAGATATCTTATCAAAGATGAAAGGGCTAATCGAGAATGTAAAGCGTTTCAATAACGATGTAACATTTTCCTCCGATACGTTCACTAGAAAGGTGACTGTTCACCTACAAAATAACGCAGAACTTTTCTTTGGTAACATTGGATACCTGCTGGGATTTTCACCAGAAGAAATTATTTCTAACACCTCTACAGCTGAAAGGCAAGTGGATTTGGAATAAGGCTTTCACGATCTTTTCGTTTACTGTGATCTTATTCAGTCACAATATGTTGGCGATGCACTGGTCCCTTTGCTTCGAATTGTTCCCGTAGAAGGAGAGGACGGCCAGCGAGTCAGTAAATCGTTTGTGCGGCCTCAATATGTACCTGACAGCAGAAAGCAATTTGAAACCATTGAAGTCAATATAAAGCAAGACACAGGGGAATCTGTGCCATTTGAGTTTGGAAGAGTGTTGTTAACACTTCATTTTCGTCAGAGTCAACCTCAGTACTTTTAAAAAATGAAAAAACTTTACGCCCCAAATCATAAGCTTTACGAACAGTACTATGTAGATCAAGCCAAACAAAAAGGTGGGAATTTACCCGCATGTCATGGAGCTCGATTTTAGCGAGGGTATGGCTTAGGTTCGATATTTAAAGGTCTGTTCCGCTGGGCGATGCCTCACCTGCAACAAGGTGCTAAGGTGATTGGAAGAAAAGCTTTACAAACGGGTGTCAATGTCGCCCAAGATGTTCTTGATGGAGATAACATTAAAAAGGCAATCAGCAAACAGGCTAAACAAGCCCTCGGTCTACCTGCCCAGAATTCATTGCAGAGACAATCAGGAGCTGGCAAAAAAGCTATAAAAAGGAAAGCGCAAGGCTCAAAAATCAGTTCGCCTCCCGGCAAGAAAGCAAAGACATCTCCGCAAGCGAAGAAACCTAAAAAAGGGAACTTGACTGAATTTTTTGACAAAGAATAGAATGGCCTTCGTTCATCACGAGTCACGCGAGTGTACTAAATCAGAGCTCGATCTTTTTACTATTCCTGCTACACAAACCTCTATTCACAAAGGGCAATGGATTGAATATCACCCTCTCAGCAACATCACAGACACTGGTCCTATTGAATTTAACGTATCTGGAACCGGAAAAGAATATTTAGATTTAGCGCGAACACAACTTTATGTGAAAGCTAAGATCACGAAAGCAAACGGAACCGCGTTAGATGCCGATACACAAGTGGGTCCCGTAAACCTGTTTTTACATTCTCTGTTTTCACAAGTAGACATTTCCTTGAATGAGCGACTCATATCTGCATCCACTAATACTTACCCTTATCGTGCCATGATCGAGTCTTTGCTGAACTACGGGGAAGAAGCTAAAACAAGTCAACTTTCTATGTCCATGTTTTACAAAGATACTGCTGGAAAGATGAATGTAGTGAACCCCTTGGCTGCAGACGATGAAGCAAACCTTGGATTAAAGGCTCGCTATAAGTTTACCAAAGAGAGTCATACGGTGGATATGATGGGACCCATTCACAGTAATATATTCTTTCAAGACCGGTTGATGCTCAATGGAGTTAATTTAAGAATCAAACTAAACCGAGCCAAGAACGTGTTTTGTCTTGTGTCCTCAGCAGCCGGAGCTAATTTCAAAGTGGTTATCACAGAAGCCATCTTGTTTGTACGCAGAGTCAAGGTTGCCTCTTCTATTATTCTAGGCCATGCAGCTGGGCTAAAACACTCCAGCGCCAAGTATACCCCATTCGCAGAATCGACTGTAAAGTACTCTCTATTCCAAGAAGATTTAGCAGTTTTAACTCTGATAACATCTTTTTGGGTCAAATTCCCAAGCGCATAGTATTGGGATTAGTGGACACAGAGGCTTACAATGAGAGTTACCGAACCAACCCCTTCAACTTCAATCACCACAATTTAACTCAAGTGGGTGTGTACGTGGACGGAGAACAAATCCCCCGAAAACCTTTGTTCCTGACGTTTGACGCCGCTGGTGGTCAAAATGCGATAGCCGGCTATCAAAGTCTTTTTTCTGGCATTGGAAAGCTTTCCCAGGATACGGGCAATCAGATAAATAGAAGTGATTACGGCTCTGGTTACACCTTATTCGCATTTGATTTGACCCCAGATCACTGCCCTGGAGATCATTTTGAGCTTATAAAACAAGGAAACCTGCGCTTGGAGCTTCATTTCTCGGAAGCACTCGCCAACACGGTTAACCTTATCGTCTATGCTGAATTTCAAAACGTGATTGAGGTCGGCGCAAACCGAAACTTTCTCTACGACTACACAAACTAAAAATGGACACCATTCAACTGACCCTTGTTTTGAGAAAGGACAAATTTACACGAGGTGTGTTTCAAGGCGTGTATCCCTCAGACAAGCTACCTGCAAGTGTTTCGCAATACCCAGCCTTATAGATTGCCAATGTGGATACGAGTGACAAGCCAGGTTCGCATTGGGTGGCGTTTTATTTCACCAAGGAGCAAGAGGGAGAATTTTTCGATTCTTACGGAGCACCTCCCAGCAAATATTCAGGAACATTTACTACCTTTTTAAACAACAATTCTAACCAGTGGATTTTTAATACCGTGACATTACAGAGCATCTATTCCCAAGTCTGCGGACATTACTGTTTGTATTTTGCTTTATATCATAGTCGGCAAATAAGTATGAGTACAATTGTGCATCGTTTTTCTAATAACACACGTAAAAATGATAGTCTTGTCAAGCGATTTATTGAAAAACATTTTCCTATAAGTCTTCCGAAATATCGCACTGATGTAAACAAGCAAAGAGCACAAGCACAGCACAAAGTTCAATAAATAAACACCTTGTAATTTCGTTTCAACATCTTTTATTGAGTGAACAAAATAAAGAGATGATTTACAATAATAATAATAATGTCTCTTGTGGTGATTTTATAACCGTAACCAGCGCACAGCCTCAGGGCGTGGACTCGCATTTGTTCGTCGCTGTTTTTTCACGGGGGATACCGTCAAAGGTGGGCTAGGTAGCCAACGGGAAGGACTGTTAGGGGTTTCGTCTCTCACCCTTGCTTTAAATTCTCGAACAGCACTTTGCCTCTGTGGATTACGCACTAGATTTTCCGGGACATTCATTCGGGCCAGACCCCTTTGCAAACACCGACCATTCCACTGGTTCAAATCCTTTGCGGTGGCGCAATGTGTCTTTGACTAGGTCCACCAGATGAGAACCTGGAATGGGTTTGGTTTCATACAAAAGCTCTCCTTTATCATTCCAATGCAATACATCTTGATGTTCTTTAATTTTATCCAACAATTGTCTAGCCCCGGCTTTGTAAATTTTGGGTACACTTTTCATGACCTCTCGCTCTACGGCTGATGAAGTGAATTTTTCCGGGACAGGTTCTTCCGAAGGTTGTTCATTTTCTTCTGGTTTAGGTGTTTCTACTGCTTTGGGGGTTGATATTTTCACATGAAGAGGTTGACCTTTTCGCTGATCGTAATAAGTCAAGTACCACTGCAACACTTGATTGTAAAGCCTAGCTTTTTGTTCATCATCAAGTTCTTTACTGGATAAAATATCGGTCATTTCACTATCCAAGTTTCTCAGAGTTTGTGTGACGGGTGGGGTTAAAATCTGCTGGCGCTGTTGTAATCTTTCCAAGGTGTTCTCGGGCACGAGAACCATAAGCTTTGTGTGATTCATTTTAGGTAAGAATCGAACTTAACACACGCAGAACGGGAGGTAGCAAAACACTTAAGAGTGGTTGTCAGAGAAAACCGGGCAAAATGTTAAAAATGTCAACGAAAGGGGGTCAACAGAATAAGTTCATACTAACATCATAGATAGGTCTGGTGGAGTAATGGACAAATATACCAAACATAGGTTCTTCACTGCTCTTGTATCAGAGATACGAGCATCACTTTTTTCGACCCCCTCGGACGCCATTTTTATAAGCACATTTTCACCATCTTCTGAAACTCACAGAACCCTCCAAATTTAACAAGCGAAGTTAATTTTTTGTATGCGATACAACACATCACAGAACTACTTTCTAAAACCATAAGATTTGTTAAATATCCACGGACAAGGCTAAAATTTTCTTATTTTATCTGACCTAAACTCAGTGTCTGCAGACGAGCTCAAAATCGGGCATTTTTGAATTGATCTACAGCGCACAACTAAAACGACAGAACAACTCTGACAGCCAAATTGCAGTCTACTATCATCCATGTAACCAAAACACTAATAATCATTTTGGGCTATTGAAACAGGAAGAAATTAGAAAACTCACATTTGTTATATATTCCAAGCTTTTTCTTGTAAACAGGCCGATCCCTTCGTGTTTGTTTTTAGTCCTCTTCGTGAATTTTCTTTCATATTTCGCTGTAAAGTATGTTCAGAAGCTGGAGAACATATCAAAAAGCTCGAAATACTGCCTAGGTTACATTTTCAAAGGGCAAAAAGTGCTGAACGATAGGATGAAACTAGAAAATAACAAAGCGACGCCATCTTGAAAATTCAGCACTCAGGAGGGACTGGCACTAGTAGCTGCGTTCGATATCCAACGTAAGGACAAAAATTGCAAATTTTTCACGACTCAATTGTCTCGTAATTCCCAAAAGAGACTTGAGCACATAGAAAACCAAACCTAATAAAGAAATGTAACCAGAAAGCCTCGGATTCATGTAAGAAGTTCCTTTATCTAACGTTAGCTATTACGAACTTTTAAGCCTATGGGCTTCTGTAATTACCAGTAAGATGAAAAAAAAAACCTACGCTAGTCTTATTTCTTCTTCAGTTACTTGTTTTAGTTGAATTTAGCTTGTTTTTCTTTCAAAGGAAAAAACAAGAAGAACGCTTGATCGCAGGTTAATTGCTTCATTACCTCCTCATTTCGAGGTGTCCCGTGAATGTAGATAATATTAAAGATCTATTTTGTCTCTTTATGAATCACTTAACTTCGCTCTCATGGGAGCTAGCTAGACTTGCTATATATCAACCTCGCGAGTTTCTAAGCGTGCGGGCTAACTACGGGCAGTAGATATTGCTTGCTGTAAAATTTGTAATAATTTTTATCACCTAAAATAAACAGTTGAATCAGCGTGCGGAGCGGGCCTTTTAGCAACACAGCGGACGAAGTAATTTTTGAAAGCCCGGGGGGACTCCGCATATGAAAGTGGTGGGGATGCTCGTCGTCTCGCTTAGGGCAGTTAGGCGTGTAAATTTCGGATTTTGGTCTCATTTAGGGTGTTCTGGGCAAAACGCCATCATATTTAGTCGTGAAGGTCTCGTTTAGGGTAGCACGCGAAAAAAGATAAAAATATATATTGATATGTAAATACTTGTATTCTGGGTAGAACGTATTACTCCTGTCATATCATTCAAGTTTTCTCATTTGTCTGTGTTTCAACAAGGTCTCTTTTAGGGATCAAAAAAAGCTGGGCCACGCCCAGATCGGTCTCCTTTAGGGGTTTAATTCAAAATTCCCGACGAGCATCCCCACCCCTTTCATATGCGGAGTCCCCCCCCGGTTTGAAAGTTAGCCTTCTAACTGATGATCTCATCGCTATCACTTCGCATTTCCATATTATATAGGTAATAGACTGTTGACAAAAGCTGTCAAAATAAACCATTCAAATTCAGATCATTCAGATCTGGTTTACCGGAAGGATCCGGAAGGAGCTTTTGTTAAAAAGTACCATTACGGGGGTTCCTACGGCTCTTACTCCGTACCCCTTCCCCTCATTGTTTTTCCTGTTCACTTTTTTTTCAGTATGCTCTCTGCACGGTCCACACAAGCTAAACGCCACGGGTCCGGACGAATTTTTTACCTGTGCAACCCGTTTAGACTGGAACGTGCAAATTCTCCATAGATTGCAATACTGTTTGCAGCTCAAAAACTTTACGGTTCCGCGAGTCGCATGTAAAGAAAAGGCGGATCCATGCAAGTTTTTGGCAGTTCAAAAATTTTTAAAAGGGGTCTGACTGTTAACTCGAGTTTTGACATCTCCTACATCTCTTCGTCACTGGATTTGTCAAAAACACTCTCGCTAAGGCGTTTAACACAAGCAGAATCATGCTCACAGTCCTCACATTTAGAGTAATTGTTAAGGTCTTGCCTTAACTTCAGAGGAGGCAATGATGACAGAAACGGAATTTATTCATCTGCTACGGAGGTAATTTCCAACGCCATTTCGTTTGTTAATCCTTTCCACGGCGCTGTTGCAAAAAATGCGCGCGCGAGTCACACAAGATGGCACAAAATGTGCTAAAAATAGTACATTCAATGGCTATGATATATATTTCGATGAGGTCAGCCCCATCCCCGGAAAAGGTATCCAGTTACGGTCTACTACCCCGATTTATATATATATGGCTCCTGGTAGAGTATAAAAAAGTAATTTTGCGCAATTTTGCAGCGTAATTAGCGTTGCTAGATAACTCTGTCCGCCATCAGAAGCCCCTAAACCACAATTTGAAAAAATGTACGAGTAAAGACTACACATCAATATTATTATTAATAATTGTAAAAATTCTAGTATGAGCTATTAAAATTGTTGAATGACCTTCTTCACCTTAGACACTCGTGTCAGTCAAGTGTGAATCGACGTCCGCCATTTCGAATTTTGTTCAAAAAAACCTCTGACCTAGCAGCCCGGCTGCATCTTGCGCCCATCATCTGCCCCCAAGGGGTGAGGATCTGGCTCCTTTTTCATAGGAAATTCATAAATTGTCTACTAAAACACTGTGCAATATGGAAGCAAGGCCAATTTAAGCACTAAAAACTACTCAGATATCTCAGAATTGGAAGAAAACTAGTAAGAGAAATTGCTCAGAAATTACGCAAAAAGCTGCTTGAAACGAAAAAAGTTGCTCGAAATACTACAAGTTGCCAATTAGTCTGCTACACAGCCGTTTTTAGTGTCGTCACGCAACGCTCCTCCCCACTAAAGGGAGGAGCGTTGCGTGACGACACTAAAAACGGCTGTGTAGCAGACTAGTTGCCAAAAAGTTGGCGAGCAACTTGTGGAAAGCTCTAGGGAGAAGGGGGAGGAGGGGGGAGGGGTGGGAGGCTACTCAATAAAGATTGTTCGGAGAGGCTTCGCCCCGCGGTCCAGCCCCTAACCCTTAAATATACTATTTTTGACAAAAGGTACCCCTTTCGTGTATCTTCCATTAAAAAGTTGTACCCTTTATATCTGCTTCGTGAGAATAAATCGGTAAGAAAGGAGGTCTTCCGGTCATTTTCGAGTAATCTTAACATGTAAATGATACTGCCATAAGGCGTGTTTCTTCGAAGCATTTTAATAATAGGCTCTTTAAAATACTTAATGAAAGATTTTCCTCTCCTTTCACATACTTCAACTTGTGATTTCCTAGCTACCCTTTGATACACCTAATGCTTGAAAGAGGTACCCTTCGGGCGAAGCCTTCCGGACTATGAAACTGTGCATCATGAAATCATGAACAGGAGATGAGTGGACCCTCGGACATGGACGGTGATTGAAGACTGACGCAAAAATAAAAGATACAAAAAAGAGTCCAAAGAAACGCCAAGACTTATATGGGATAACTCAAAATGAGGGGAATGAAGAGCAAATGAAGACTGAATAAAGTAATGCCAATTGATCACCTGTTCACCACACCCCATCACTCCGCCGGAAAAAAAAAAACAACAACAACAAAGACAACAATTTAACTAAAAGAAGGAATTGAAGAAGAAATAGGATTATAGGACTGTAATAGGTCGCTGATAAGCCGGTTTGTTTGTTTTTGTTTTTTATCTGTTTGGTAATTCGTCACTTGTGGACAAGGCAGCTACTAGTGCCAGTCCCTCCCGAGTGCTGAATTTTCAAGATGGCGTCGCTTTGTTATTTTCTAGTTTCATCCTATCGTTCAGCACTTTTTGCCCTTTGAAAATGTAACCTAGGCAGTATTTCGAGCTTTTTGATATGTTCTCCAGCTTCTGAACATACTTTACAGCGAAATATGAAAGAAAATTCACGAAGAGGACTAAAAACAAACACGAAGGGATCGGCCTGTTTACAAGAAAAAGCTTGGAAACTATAACAAATGTGAGTTTTCTAATTTCTTCCTGTTTCAATAGCCCAAAATGATTATTAGTGTTTTGGTTACATGGATGATAGTAGACTGCAATTTGGCTGTCAGAGTTGTTCTGTCGTTTTAGTTGTGCGCTGTAGATCAATTCAAAAATGCCCGATTTTGAGCTCGTTTGCAGACACTGAGTTTAGGTCTGATAAAATAAGAAAAGTTTAGTCTTGTCCGTCGATAGTTAACAAATCTTATGGTTTTAGAAAGTAGTTCTGTGATGTGTTGTATCGCATACAAAAAAATAAACTTCGCTTGTTAAATTTGGAGGGTCCTGTGAGTTTCAGAAAATGGTGAAAATTTGCTTATAAAAATGGCGTCCGAGGGGGTCGAAAAAAGGTGATGCTCGTATCTCTAATACAAGAGCAGTGAAGAACCTATGTTTGGTATATTTGTCCATTACTCTACCAGACCTATCTATGATGTTAGTATAAACTTATTCTGTTGACCCCCTTCCGTTGACATTTTTAACATTTTGCCCGGTTTTCTCTGACAACCACTCTTCCTCCGTGTTGTACCAACAATTTCTTTTTCTTATCGAGCGGTGTACTTTTTTCGGCTAAAGCGATCAAAGATTTCTTGTGAGGTAAAAGTTTTTTCTTGGCTGGCTTACTGACAGGCACTGGCTTTAAGCACGTTTAAAACACACTCACAAATGGTTCTTACTAAAGCGACGTCTGCCACCTTCAAAATGGCTTTACGCTGAGCTGGGGTACACTTGACAAGCAGCTTCAGAAAATCGTGGTTCTTTCTCAGTCGCTGTGCCATCCTCAACTGAAGAAATGTGATGTGGTTCACGCCTTTTATACTTTTCTGACGTAAGCGTACTGAGTCTCCCCGGCGAAAATATTCGTACGCAGCCGGAAGTTGGTGGGTGTTTCCGGTTTAAGATCGCAAAATAAATAACCATAGGGCCTTTTTGTTGCATCCTCAAACGCTTCTTGCATGTATTTGACATGACCGGGAAACATTTGTCTTGCTAAATGATTGACCTGACTGCTATCACGCGGGCTTTTGAACACCACTAAGTAATGAGAATTCAAACTCATATCTCTCAGTTCTTTTCCACGATGAAAAATGTTTTGGAGAATAAAGATCACGCTGAGATTGCGATGGTGACAGCCCTTGGTAAACAAATTAGTCATTCGCTGATCATTGCTAAGCTCGTGCATTAAGTCATCAATAACGACTAAATTCCGAATAGAGGGATTAATTAGGGTTTCCAGATCACCAGGCACTCCTTCAACAAACATAATGTTCGGGAATAGTTTTAAACATCTCATCGTAGGCTGGTTGATACATGCTATAACACCAGATGATATTTTCCGGGGCACCATCAACCATGTCTTCTCCTGCTTCTAGTAAACGTTTTACAAACTGACTTTTCCCACAACATGTTGGGCCAGCTACAAGTGCGGGGAAAGGATGTTTCCATCTCAGGTCCATGATCACAACTGATTAACTGATTTGTGCGTATTCTCATTTATAGAAAAAAATTGTTTTGGGTTCAGCCTCCTTGTCATACACACGAATCGCATTGGTATTTTGTAATTTTGCAAATTGAAGCCAATATTTTCGTTCTATTTCCGATAACTCGTGGACTTGAGTTAAATGATTTGCTAATCGAACTAAAAATTTAGAATGACATCCCGGTATGGGGCAGTGTTTACATTTTAGTTTCTTCATGCTGACAGGACGATTGTTAGATACCAACTGAGTAAAACTATTTGCGACACGAACTTTATTGTTGATTTTCAAGGGCAGATCGGGCAGAAAGGGCATCTTTTTAGCCCTGTGTTTTTTCCCCTGGGTGCGCGTGGAGATCTCGCGTGTAAGTCGTTTGCGTCGAGTCAGGAAACAAGCCACGATTAAATTCAATTCAACCAATGATTTATTTACAAACTAATTTCCCATGTACAAACATCCGTAAAAAGCTACGCAAAAATACTATTTACAACTAGAGGCGATCTTATATAAATATTTCGGAAAACTATTTTGAGAGTAATATATATGCAAACTTGAGAAAACGAAAATTATTTACAAAATCAATTTTTTACAAACTTGAAAACTTAAATATCGAGTGGAGTAGTGCTAACTCCAAAAGCGAGAACTTTACGTTTTGGGTAAAAATACGAAAATGCATCCCTAACTTGCTCATAAGTGTACATGGTGTTGTTAACAACACGAAAACCTCTGTTAACACCTGAACTATTCTGTTTTGTGAGCAACACTTGTAAATACTTGTCTTTGTTAATCTCGTTACATTTCTTGTTGACTCCTTTGCAAGAAAACTTATCTTTGGCCCCAAAACAGTAGTAGGTTTTTGAACACAACCCGATAATTCCTTGTCCCTCCCACTCAACTTTAAAAAGACGCGGGGTTCGCTTATCATAGGCCTTATGCTCGGGGGTATCCGTACGGGCAAACCAGTTGCATTTATCGGCTTCGAACTCTGCTTTCAATTCTGGTTTGACTAAACTTTCCACACTCTCCCCAGCAATAGCGATATACGCTGAATCCGTATCCATTTCACACATTTGAAAATCGCTGCGATCGAGATACTTGTCTAGAAAATCATAATAAAACTGCAGCATGCGTAACTTAGCATACTGATACACAAAATACCCGATTTGAATAGGTAAGTTTAACTTAATGGTTTTCTTGCAAGACTCTACTTCGTAATTGTCTTCTGTGATATTATCCAGTTTCCGGAACAGGGGAGTGTTGACTTTTCGACTGGCCTCTGCGTCACTGCAATACTCCACGTTTCTGGTGGTTCAACTGGTTAGTGATCGTCTTACCATAGCCTGAATTGCCCACCTGAGAGATAAACAAAGATGTAAGTTTTTTCTATTCGTGAAAATGTATATTGTTCCCACCACCTTTATGAATGAAAGAATGAAACAAAAACTTACCAGTTTCATGGTATCTGCAATGATGGCCTTCCTAGAATCCGCATCCCCAGCTCTCCTAGCGTCGGACACAGCGTCTCCAAAGGGTTTAAAACAGGGCTCAGGGGTGAATTCAACCACTTGGTGCACTTTGGTGACTTCCAGGCCGTGTTCTAAATACCATTTGAGGAGGGGTGTGGCCAACAAGATTTTTTCTCCTTTCATACTTCCAATCAAGCTTCGCCGAGGCTGAGCCATGATGTTATGCTCTTCTGCGTACGCTTTCATGAAGTCTCCAATATCATCGCGGCTGATGTTGGTGTTTTTGAAGATTGGACACATTTCACTGAATTTCTCTTTCAAATGCTCAGGCACACGAATATCTACTTTCACGCACCCAAACAAACGCTCATTTCGGACCTCGCTCAATATTTGCTCCGGGCTCATGATCTTGAGTTTTCAAGTATACAGTCTCGAACCCGGCAGATCTTTAAATTTTTGTTGAAGCATTTTCATTTCACTTGAAGACACTTTCAATGTTTTGGCTTGTGCGTGATACAGAGAAAAGTCGACTCGAAGCAAAGGCAGAGAAAGCCCCATCTTGACTAAGACAGAAACAAACACACACTGACTCACAATTTAGATATAAACAAATTTTATTACTTTTAGAAACAAAGCCTATTTTGAATGTCATTAATTATCAAGTCAAGGTCCATTGGTTGTTCATCTTTCCTCACAACTCTCTCAGGGCATTGCACTTCAACTTGGCTGTCAATTTCCACAGCACTGGGATCTTTGCACTTCAGTCCACAAGGTCCGTAGTAAATAGCATACAGAATTCGATCTTCTAACTCACCATAATCTTCGAGTTCCAAGGAAGTGAGATAGATGTTAGTCGAAAGCAGCTTTGGTAATTCGGTCACGTACGCTTCCCACGTTTTGCCAAGTTTGAAACCAAGAGCACTGCACACACTTTCAGCCGTTTTTAAGATAACATTGAGGTCAATTTGTTCCACCACTTCATCATGGTACTACATCCATGCGTCATCATTATCCATCATCTAGCAAGAATGTTGGTTTTGACTTGGGTGTTGAATAGCACAACCGTGGCAGCGATTCAGTGTTTCTTCTTGGATGAGTTTGTCAACCGTAGCCGCATAAGTCAGTTGGAACACATGGCCGATAAGGCTAGCTACCCGTTGACGTTGGACTTTTTCCACTTCATCTACTGTAAGAAGCGGTGTAGCGCTCGATTCGACTTGCATGTTTGGAGTAATGTTTTAAAAAATATTGGTGATAATAAGACTTTTTCCTTAGCAGAGCGATTGCAAGAATAAAATGCTGAAGAGAAAGCGCGCTTTTATGTTGAAGACATAATACATTCTACATGAGCCAATCAGGGTTAAAAGAGCCCGGGCAAGTCTAGGCAAGCCTATTGTTTCTATTGAAGTAGAGAGACGCTCATTAGAAAACCTATTACGAATTAGTTTGCAGGAAGACACTGATTAGGCACTTAATTAGTATGCAGGAAATCCATTTTTTTCTCTAGGTTATAACAATGGGTGACGTCATAGACTAGACCCATATGCCTATTAATTAAGGGAATCCACTTTTTGCGAGGGAATCCAAAGGGAATCCACCAAAACGGTTAAGTTTCAACATAGTAGACTACTAAGGTGCCTGTACTTACTCTCTAGACAGCTAAGTCCAAGGATCAAGAACTCACCCTCCCCACCCATGACATTTATGACTAGTCAATCACTCCCCCAAGATCTGCTCGTAGCATTATGATTATGAGTCAGTACTAGTAACTCGCGCGTATCAAGGAGGTACTTACAGTTGAAATATACAGTCATACAGTCCATATAGAAAAAATTTAGATTTGCTTGAACAGGGGCCGCGAGGAATCGGTAGGTCATGTTGACGTTTCTATTGTTTGCGCCCGCAAGTAAGAAATGGTTAGGATGACGTAAAACACAAAAAATCCCGGAGGAACAGCTTACAATAGGTTGATTTTGTGACACGAATTGTGCAGTCATACTTCGATATTCTTTTGCGTTACGCGTTATCAGTGACATTCTGTGGAGCAGTTGTTATGAAAGTTATGGACCAAAAGACACTCGTTAAGCGCAGATGAAGTTATAAGGTGCGTAGAACAGTGTATATTTTAACACTAAGTGAGTTTGCCAGACACGAGTTCACAAATCTTTGATTGGAAACCTTCAGCTGAACCTTGCCAGACACTCTTTCTCTTTCTTTTACCGGAATAAGACTCGGCCCAAAACAAGCAGAACAAGCAAGACGAGTGAATGATTCAGCGGCTAGCTTATCACTAGCAAAACGATGGACGATAACAGAAATTCGCCGACCATCAAATTCTGACTTATTCCTGCTCACAAGGCAGATGTCCTTCTGCTATAAAGTTTAAAATATAATAAGACTAGAATGCGCGAGCGTGAATTGATCAAACGTCCTTTTAATCTCTAAGGCTTACTTTCCGGCAAATGAAATGAACTAAATGTAAAAAGTGAAATAGAAACAGCGAAAAATCAAACTTCTAATTAAATCTTTTCTTATGGTTTAGAATAAAGAGGGTCGTACAGGGGGGGTCTCTCGCACGGTTCACGAACAGAAAAAACAGCGAATCACGGATCACGGCTATCAAAATTTCATTTTCCCGAATCACGAAAATAAACAAGTAAGGTACTCGTTTTAATAACCTTCTCTTACGGTAGAAAGAGTGTTTGAAGAAAGCAAATTCGTTACAGGCTAAGTAAAGGCTGCTTATCGGAAATCTCATACCTAAATCACTCTCGATGGACGACTCTGACCATTCGTCCACTTCGCGTTGTAACTGCCCGAAGAAACAACAAATCGTCTAGAGAATCTACCTCGTAATTGTCAGCAATAGGATATTCAGCGTCTGAGTCAGTGTCATACTCTTCCTCCTCTTCTACCTCGGCTTCCTCTACTACTTGAACATCTTCAATGGCCTCGTGCGATGTAGAAGTCGTAACAGTCGTAACGGTCGTAGCAGAATTAACAGTCTCCTGTTCGACAGTGTTAGGGCTGAATGAGACTTTATCTTTAGGATAGTCTGATGTTCTGTACATGTTTAACGGACGGCAATGTTCCGGCCTTGAACATGGTGGTCTCTTGTCACACTTCTCTGTCGTGCAGCCCTCCCATTATTAGTCGCCCACTCAATCGTGAGGTCTTTTTCCTGCCTATTTAACTCCCTTCTTGCCTTAAGATGCTCCAGCTTCGGAATGGCATTTAGTGGAGTGCTCTGGCGCAACACGGGATAATATGATTTATCATGTGTGAGGTAGTAGGCACTCCAGGGTACTACACGCTTAATGCTTTCGTATACGGTATTTGCCAGATTCCGTGCGTACTGCAAAAGGAAACTGGTCCTTGAAATGACCAACTGCGTGTAGGTTTTCAACCTGAATTGTTAGACAAGAGTACAAAGGCCTTACTTCCATCTTTTCCCTTTTCGAGACGACAAAATTTAAGTTCAACACAGGAGCCGAGGCCACGTTTCTCAGACTCTGCCTTTAATCCGGCAAACTCCGCGAACTTTTTAGTAAACACTGCCAAAGATGAATGTTCATCTGTAATTGGAAAGCGAACTCGTTCCTTTCCAAGAAAATTAAGCGAGCCGACAGACTTTGGGTCAACGTAAAATACAATACATTCGACCCTCATCGTACTATACGTACTCGTCCCCACCATGTCTCGGATGTTTCGATGTTTTGGATTACTGTCCTTTGACCTCCAGTGACATAGGAGACCATAGGCATAGGAATAGACATCTGATCCATGATAGGCATGTAAAGCACGTGAATTTGCACAATGGATTACTTAGCGAAGCGAAGTCTGTTACTTGTCACATTTGATGCTTTTAATAAGTCTTCCGGAGCACTCGCATCTCAAAATCACGCCAAATAGAGTGGTGAAATCACGAATATCGGTTAATAATTCAAGTTCTTCACGGGTGACGCAAAACCCTCAGATCACTGATCACGAAGAATAATTTATTAAATTCACGTTTCACGGAAAATAAAATCAGCCAATCACGCATCACGGGAATACCCCTGTACGACCCTCATGAAAGATAGAAGTTTCAATAGTTTTGCATCTTACAGGATAAAACTATTATTTAATGAAACAAAATGGAGTATTTAGCTAGCCAGGACCCGTGCTCTTATTCTTTACATTTCGATTTAAATATCTGATTTCGGGCCCGAAAAGTTACCGGGACTTTCGAGAAACGGGCCCCAGGTTGCTTTTCGGGCCTAAAGTCAAATATTGAATTCAAAGCCTTTTAAAAGAACGAAAGTGCAACTACTACTTTAGAAACGGTTGAAACTACTCCATTTCCTTTTGTTCACTGATAGTTTTATCATATTATCTTCAAAACTATTGAAACCCTCTTGAATTTTAACAACAAGAGGTTTCTAGGCACATTAATTATCGGGACTTTCAAGAAAAGGGTCATGGAGCCACAGGAAAATAAACAAACAAACAACAATTTTAATAGATTCCTATCCTGCACAAACAACACTGTACAAATTGCTTAATTGTATCTTATGCTGGTAACCGTTGAATTTGGCAGCTACATTAACATTTATTGTGTAATAACAGTCTAGGTTATTCCCTGGGAAACAGCTTTTCTCCCAACAACAACAACAAACTTTATTAATAAATAGATAATATTACAGAAGCACCGGCCGCAACTAGCAAGGCTATTCTAGGCGGGACAATGACTGCAAAATGAAATCAAGTTTGAGGCTAACTATGGAAAATTTTACAGTGTGCTGTAGTTAACATTTTATCTTAGGTAATTTTTGTTAGTTTTTTTTTGTTGTTTTTGGGTATGGTAATGCACGCTAATGAAGTTGAAACAAAAGAAAAATATAAATTACGTGAGATAAAAAATCAACTAGAACATATACACAGTCAAACCTCTTTAATACGCACACCGCAAAGGGACAGAACCAAGTGTCCGCTTTACAGAGGTTTCCGTATTATAGAGGTGGCCGTAAGGAGAGGTTAGACTGTAAATAAATGAAATTCGTAAATGAACGAGGACCTGATAACACGATCAAGAAGAAAGAATTAAGCAAACAAATTGTAAAAGTAGAAACGAACAAGCAAGTATTTATCGACATTTTGGGCTGATTTTCCTTTTTTTAAGGTAGGCGTGTCAATATAGTCACCTCCTGAATTAAAATTCTGAATTCAATTCTCCCTACTTTGTTCTCAACAGAGTTTTAAACACAAACATTGTAAACCAATATAAAATTAAAACACTTATGTAAAACAGTACCATTCATGTGAAAAGATTTAAAAGAAAGAAAGAGCCAAATATTGCATTCCTTGTGATGGTGAAGGTAAACTGCTTCATTCAAAAATCTGAATACGACTGTTTAGGATGTCAGCCACAACTATTTTACCATCACTAAGAACTGCTGCAGAGTTCGGTGCATTAAACTCTCGTATCCCGCTTCCTTTTGTCCCAAATTTAGTGATAAACTTCCCACTCAAATCAAACACCTGAATCCTGTGATTTTGTTGATCACAAACCATCAGGTGTCCTGCCTTGTTCATGGACAAGCCGACAGGTACCGTAAACTCCCCGTCTAAATTTCCCTTCTTCCCAAATTTGTAAAGGAAGTTACCCTTTCTGTCAAATAACTTTACAGAATGATCACCACAGTCTGATACTATTAGATAGTTGTTATGTTGGATACAGTGAAAGGGTTTAGTGAAAGAGCCCTCTGTGCCGAGTTTATGTAAAAACTGTCCATCAGCGGAAAAGATCTTAATTAATTTGTTATTCTTATCAGCTACAATGATATTGCCATCACTGTCAATAGATAAACCAGTAGGATGGTCAAGCTGTTGATCAAGACTTCCTTTTCCCCCAAAGTGGCGAAGGTATCCCCCCTGTCTGCTCAGTTCTTGGACCCTACTGTTTTTATTTTGTTCTGCCACAATAATATTAGCACCGTGAAAAACTATTCCACAAGGCCAGTCAAACTCAGGCCCGGCCAGGGGTTTTGGGTATACGGTATCCCGGGCCATTTTAATTCAGGTATATGGTATTTTTTGGTCAAAATTCGGGTATAAAGTATTCAGTTTTTCCTGAATTTTAGGTATTCGGTATATGGTACAGAAATCACTGAGTAATGTATAATTCATTTCTCAGCTATATTACCGCTCTAATGCTCACTAAAAATCGAGCGGATGCTTGAAATTGTTACTGTTTGGCTACCTATCCCAGTGCCACACCCCCACCACCTCCCGAATCGCAAAACGAACCTCATCGTTTCCACATTAAGTCAGACTGGGAACCACCAGTCCAGCCATCTGTAGCTCTGGAGACCTTCCTAGAGGAAGTAAAATTAGAGTTCGCAAGTATCCAATTTGACAAGCCAAAAGATCATATATCTACGAGAGAGCACCAAGCTCTCAAAGCCGGAGTTATCGCGCAACAAAAGCATTATTCTTAAGAAATCTGATAAAGGTAACACTACCGTATTGATGAGCAGACAAGACAAACTAAACCAAGGTCAGGTTCTACTTAATGATTTAAATAACTACCGACCTCTAGACAAACCAATGGTTGAAACTACAACCAAAAAAGCTCAACAACTTATTAAAACAATGCTCTCAGAAGGCCACATAAAATACGGCGGCTAAATGGCTCTCCCTTACGCCTGATCCTCCTCGATTCCCAGTGTTTTACACGCTTACTAGAATCCACAAACCGACACCTGTCGGAAGACCTATTATCTCAGGGTGTTCCGGACCTAAAGAGCAGATTTCATCATTTGTTGACCACCTTATTCAGCCAATAGCACAACTCCAAGCTTCGTATCTTAAAGATACGACAGACTTTATTTACTTCATCGAGAGGATTAAACTGCCTAAAAGTGCAATACTTGTTTCAATGGACGTCACAAGCCTATACACAAACATACCACAACGAGAGGGTATTACCACTGTATGCTATGCATACGAAGAATTTCATCAAGGAAACCCTCCAGTCCCTACCAGGTTTTTAAGTGAAATGCTTAGTCTGATGAGTACTAGAAAACTCGTTCCAATTTAACGACTGATCTAGAAAGATTATCTTCAAACCCATGGAACAGCCATGGGCACGAAAATGGCCGTAGCCTTTGCTAACATCTTCATGGCCAAAATAGAAAAAGAAATACTCAGACAGAGCAGCATTAAGCCCATCTTCTGGAAAAGGTTTATCGATGACGTCAAATCAGTATGGGACACAAGTAGAAACGAAATAGAAGAATTCCTTCTAAAGGCAAACAACTTCCATCCTACAATCAAATTCACAACAGAAATATCAGAAACAGAAACTACATTTTTGGACACGAAAGTGTACAAAGGTGTCAGATTCAACAAGGATTCTATCCTTAACGTGCGAACACACTTCAAGCGTACAGAGAAATTCCAATACACGAATTTCTATTCGTGTCACCCACCAGGCGTCACAAAAGGCTTCATCAAAGGAGAAGCTTTAAGGCTTCTAAGAACAAATTCCTCTGAAATCACTTTTGAAGAGAACATGAGGAATTTTTCAACACGCCTAAAGAATAGAGATTACCCAGCTACAACTGTAGAAAAACATCTCTCAGAGGTCATTTTCGCAAACAGAAAGAAAGCACTAGAACAGAGAAACAAAAATGCACGTAAGAAAATACTACCCTTTCATGCCCTGCAATACCACCCTGCGTTGCCCAACCTCAAGAACATACTGATGGGGAAATGGCACCTTATACAGAACCAACCATACCTGAGAAACATCTTTAAGGAGCCTCCCCTCATTTCATATCACAAAGGAAAATCCCTAAAAGACACTCAAGTAAGAGCTAAAATATAAAGGTGTTAAGAAAAATCTATTTGCGAACTGCAGGAGTCGTGCAGGCCCGTCAACACTTTTAAACTCTGTTCATTTTCAGGTATTTAGTATTCCGTTTCCAAATAATTTTAGGTATTTAGTATCACACATTTTACGATTTTGAGGTATATTGGTATCTTGGGGGCAAAATAGCGGGTATATTGGTATCCCACTACCCCCCCTGGCCGGGCCTGCAAACTCACCATGCTGAGCACCATGTTCACCAAAAGATTTAATATGAGTTCCATCACTCTTGAATAAGTGAATCTTATGATTACCAATGTCACTCACTGCAATTTCATTTTGTTCATTTACTGCTACCCCCCAAGGCTTCTTCAATATTTGTTCTCCAAAAGATAACACAGATCTGAACTGTCTGGGTTTGACTTGAACCTCAAAAGGGTTGCCACGGATATGTTCTTCATTAACCTTCACTGATGCACTGCATGTTCCTGTTTCTCTGGCAAAGTATTTGATCTTGTAAGTACCATCTTTGTTATCTTGGACTTGCACTTCAGCTGCGCAGTTGTCGCCTTGCCGATTACTGATTTCTAGTGTGACACAGTCATTATTATCGTAAGACATTTGACATTTCTTGTTTCTTGTTGTCACGACAAGCTGTGCTTCAAGTCCAACAATTGCCTCACTGATTCCTTTTCCATCAGCACTTAATTGTTGCGCTCTTGTTTCAAGGGAACCAATTTGTTCAGCGCTTACGAGATCAAATAACTTGTGATTCTCCACAAAATTAAATTTCTGAAATGGACAGTCATCACGATCACTTCTGTCTTCTTGGTTCTTTTCTTCCTTTAATATTTTGTCCATCTGCTCGTTCGGCTGCATGAGTTGAGCGCTTGTGCTTCGCTTTAAAAGTGTTTCAGTATCTATTATTTCTGATTCATGTCGTCTTGCCTGTTCTTTAATCTCCTCTTTTTGCTTTTCAATTTTTTGAAGAGATGCTTTTGTCCTTCGTTCCACATCATCAAAGATCTCCTGTTTCTTTGCTTCAATGGTTGCAATGATGCTGTCAGCATACTTTTTTACGTTTCTCTTCACACGAGCGGCTTGTTCTTGAACTTCGCTATGGCATTCATCAAGTTTGGTGATTTTGCTTCTCTTTGTTTCAGCTCTTTTTCTCTGAGATTCAATCGCAGACACAACTTTTAATTTCCGTTCATTTGCAGCCAGTTCGAGAAGAATCTTTCCGTGCCCATCATGATCGGTCAACGCACACGCGTTACAAATTGCTACTTCACAAATCTTGCAAAAGAACTCTATTTCTTTCTTTTCGTGGCCTGTCATTGCACAAAATTCTGGCCTCTTTAAAATGTTCTCAAAGTCTTGATCCTGAAAGTCTTCTAATGCCAAGGCATAGTGATCTTTATTGGCTTTCATCCTATTGTGGAGACCAATGCACTCTTCGCACCAGAAAGCGTAACATTGGAAACAATAATGGCTCTGTTTCGTTCTTTCGTCGCAATTTCCACACTTAACTCCGGTTGTGTTGCACTCCTTTATAGCTAATACATCAAGCAAGCTGTTAATACGAAAGTTTGTTGGCAAAGCTGCTAGGTTTCCGTTATCAGGGACATTGAATTCCTGTCTGCACTCCGGGCACGCAATTTTATCTCGTCTGCCACTCGTTCGTTGAATCCCATTCAGACAATGAAGGCAAAAACTATGCAAACACGGCAACTGTTTTGGATCGGTGTATTTGCTCATACACACAGAACATGATAACTCTTCATGAAGGTTGTTCAACAAGGTTTGAATGTCCATGTTGACGGTGTTGGGGGTCGCGAAAGTGGTAAACGAGACAGAACGGCGAAAACTGTGTTGAATATTACTAGTTTTGCGCAT